GACATAAAGGCTTGAGATGCTATACAATCCTCGAAAACATTCAAATGAATACAAATTGTAATAAAAAAAGAATTAGAAAAGAAAATACGAGCCATAACTGTTTGTTCATTAAAAAAAAAAAAAAAAGGGTTTAATAGAAAGAAATGTTAATGAAAGCAACAGGATTGTGTAACGTGTGACAGCAGCAGAGGATGACAGTCATAACATTTACTCGGTAATGTTATGAAAGCAATTTCTTCTTCAAATTAGTTTTATTTTCATTTGCAGAAGATTTAATCGGGCAGTTTCTAGAAAGTTATATTGACCAGAACAATCATCAAACTTTCACTCACCGCACACTTCCAGTCTACATCTGCTCCAGTGCCAAAGAGCTGCAGCTGCAGCTGAAGCTGAAGCTGCAGTTTATGAAGAAGCAGATGCTGAAAGCGTGAAGCTAAGTCGAGAACCCATTGTTGAAGGTGAGCGCTTCAGTGCAGTCCAACGCACTTCCAAGTATGTTCAAGCTCAGTCTCAGTACACCTGTTCCGGAACGCATCATACACAGGTAGCAGTGGAGGCACAGGAAAGAAAAATAAAGACGTTTGAACCACCTCAAGCTAAGTCAGTCTACAAAGACTTAAAAAATGAACCGACATCAAATACTTACCCTCACAGTACTCCGAAGCACGCTGATCAACAGTATGAGTCACAAAGTGCACAAGACTTCGCAAGATACCTCATCAGAAAAGAAATGGTGAGTGCAGGTCTTCTTCAATTCGATGATAAGCCTGAAAATTACTGGTCGTGGAAAGCCTCCTTTATAAGTGCCACTAAGGACTTGAATCTCACAGCCAGAGAAGAGCTAGATTTGATGACTAAGTGGCTAGGGCCCGACTCCATGCAACAAGCAAAGAGAATTCGTGCAGTACACGTACTCAATCCTGCAGCAGGTGTGAACATGATCTGGCAACGTCTTGAAGAGTGTTATGGGGCGCCAGAGGTCATTGAAGACGCACTGCTCAAGAAAATAGAACACTTTCCGAAGCTCACCAACAAAGACAATGCTAAACTGAGAGAACTCGGCGACATTCTCCTCGAACTTGAGTGTGCTAAGGACGAAGGTGCTCTGCCAGGGCTTTCGTACCTGGATACAGCTCGTGGGGTAAGAGAAATAGTGGAAAAGCTTCCCTATAATCTGCAAGAGAGGTGGACCAGCATTGGAAGCAAGTACAAGGAGGATTACAGAGTAGCCTTCCCTCCTTTCTCTGTCTTCGCCAAGTTTGTCCAGCAACAAGCAAAGATTAAGAACGATCCAAGCTTTATTATATCCACACCAAGCAACAAAGCCTCTGTGACTGTACACAAAACAGACATCCCAGAAGAGCCAGCAGACACCCAAAGCAGTCCTACTTTTAAAAAATTGGATGAGCCAGATCGCCAGTGTCCAATTCACAAGAAGCCACACCCACTGAAAAAATGTAAGCTCTTTAGAGAGAAAACTCTTGAAGACCGCAAAGCATATCTCAGAGACAATCGCATCTGTTATAGATGTTGCGGTTCTTTTCAACACATGGCAAAAGATTGCAAACTGACTGTCAAATGCTTCGAGTGCAACAGTGACAGACACATCGCCGCACTGCATCCAGGCCCTCCTCCTTTAAACGCTCAGAGTGCTACGGCTGGGAAAGACAAAAGCGGGGAGCAAAGTGAAAGCTCATCTTCATCAGTGACCTCAAAGTGTACGGAGGTTTGTGGGGAGGGTTATAGCTCACGCTCATGTTCCAAAATTATCTTGGTGAAAGCATATCCTGCAGGGGAAAAGGAGAAGGCAATGAAGATGTATGCAGTGTTGGACGAACAAAGTAACAAGTCACTAGCCAAGACAGAGTTCTTCAACCTCTTTGAAGTTAAAGGTAACTCCACTCCATACACCCTGAACACCTGTTCTGGGAAGTCAGAGACTTCAGGTAGGAGAGCCGTTAATTTTGTCATTGAGTCTGTGGAGGGGAAAGTACAGCTTCCCTTACCACCCTTAATTGAGTGTGACATGGTGCCAGATGAAAGAGCAGAAATTCCCTCTCCAGAGATTGCACTACATCACCTACACCTACAGCCAGTTGCTAACAAGATTCATCCAGTAGATCAAAACGCTCCTATCCTTCTGCTCTTAGGGAGAGACATCCTAAGGGTGCACAAAGTACGTGAGCAAATCAATGGACCGCACAATGCACCTTACGCACAACGGCTAGACCTAGGCTGGGTCATTGTGGGAGAAGTATGCTTGGGGATAGCTCACAAACCATCAGAGGTCAATGTCTACAAGACCAACATACTGCACAACGGTTGCACATCTTATCTCAGTCCATGTCCAAACAGTATTCATGTTAAAGAAGACTTCAGTGGCATGACACAGCATCCTAGTCTCACCTTCCCTGCATGTAAGCAGAACACAGATTGCACTGCGATTACAGACAATCTCGGGTGTTCGGTGTTCGTCAGGTCCAAAGATGACAACGAGATGCGTCCTGAAGTGTCTACACTGGCAACCAAGGTCTCAGAGTTCATGTTGAGCTCTCAACACTTTGAGCGATGCTCAAGCTGGCAAAAGCTCTGTCAGATCATAGCCAGACTCATTCATGTTGCCGCTTCCTTCAAAAGCAAGGCTGACGAAGCAAGAAAGAAAGGATGGGAATGTTTCGGAGAAACAATCAGCATAAGTGAACTCTCACAAGCCAAGGTTTTGATCATCCGCTCTGTCCAGCACAAGGCCTTCAAAGAGGAATTCAAATGTCTTGAAGACGGACAGACTTGGTCCAAGCAAAACACACTTGAGAAGCTCAATCCATTTGTGGATAAAGATGGTCTTCTTCGTGTTGGAGGTCGTCTTTCATCGGCTGAGCTGTCAGAAGAAGAAAAACACCCTCTGATCATTCCACGCAATCATCACATCGCCACACTGCTTGTCAGATACTTCCATGAAAAAGTAGCTCACCAAGGGCGACACTTTACAGAAGGAGCTATTCGAGCAGCTGGATACTGGATAGTTGGGAGTAAACATCTGGTATCTTCTGTCATCCACAAGTGTGTTACCTGCCGCAAATTGCGAGGAAGGTTGGAAGATCAGAAGATGGCGGATCTGCCAGCTGACAGACTAACACCCGAATCTCCGTTCACCAATGTTGGACTGGATGTTTTTGGGCCGTGGTTGGTCATGACACGACGCACAAGAGGAGGGGCTGCAGACAGCAAACGCTGGGCTTTGCTCTTCACATGCATGTCTACCAGAGCGGTGCATATTGAACTGATTGAATCCATGTCAACAGACAGTTTTATCAATGCCTTAAGAAGATTTTTCTCTGTTCGTGGTCCAGCAAAGCTCCTGCGCTCTGACAGAGGGACTAACTTCGTCGGGGCTTCAAAAGAGTTAAGGATTAACACAGACGACACATTAATCAGGAAGTACCTCCAGGAGAAAGGATGCTCTTGGGTTTTCAACCCCCCTCATGCCTCCCACATGGGTGGTTCCTGGGAGCGGCTCATCGGAGTAGCCAGGCGCATTCTGGATGCAATGTTGCTTCAGACGGGACCAGTACGTCTTACACATGAGGTTTTGAGCACTTTCATGGCAGAGGTGATGGCGATCATCAACGCAAGACCCCTTGTGTCTGTGTCTACTGACCCAGATATGCCTGCAGTTCTAACCCCCTCAATGCTCCTGACTCAGAAAATGAGTGCAGTTTCAGCACCTCCTGGAAACTTCGATACAGCTCAGTTGCTCGGAAAGCAATGGAAGCAAGTTCAGTGCCTTGCCGACACCTTTTGGAAGAGATGGAAAGGAGAGTATCTGTCTACTCTGCAGAGCCGCAGGAAGTGGACGCAAGACAAGCCGAACGTCAAAGAAGGAGACGTCGTCCTTCTCAAAGGCAGTCAAGCCCATAGGAACGAATGGCCAATGGGATTGGTTGTTAAGACTTTTCCAAGCAGTGACAAGAGGGTCCGCAAAGTAGAAGTATGGATTGTGAAGGACGGGACAGCCAAGGTGTTCCTTAGGCCTGTAACAGAAATTGTTGTCCTTCTTGCAGAGTCTTAGAGAAAGAACTCTTAATATGTTGTTTTCAGTGGACATTCCCTTTCAAGTTCAATTGTATTTGTCGTGATATAATGTTATTATCTCAAGCGGGGAGTGTGCTGCCTATTTCTATGTTTATAGAGTTGGGACATGTTTTTTGGCTCAGAGTGAGCGCTCCTTGGTTTGCGAGGATCTTTGTAAACGGAGCACGGAGATCAACACATGGAGATCAACACATGGAGCAGAGACGTCATGTAAACTGTGTCCGTGTCTGTGATGCTTGAGCCTTGGAGACTATTTGTCTGTGAGTTATTCATGTGCAGAATGTTTGAAGTGTGTAACTTTTGGTCTAAAGCTAGTTTAATGTGTGCTAATTTAGCTAATGGTGATCTGTGCTATTTCTAGCTAATAGTGATGCTAATGATAGCTAATTCCTTTAATAGTAGTATGTGTGTCGTTTGTACAGTGCTACTTATATGTTATGTAAAGTCTGCATACTTATATGTGTTTTATTTCTGTATTGTTACAGTTTTACAAAGTAAAAGAAGAACAGTAAAGTCAAGAAAGAAAACCATGCATCTTTATTGGAGGACTTTTAAATGTTAGCTAACTGTCTAGCTACGCATAGGGATACGCGCTGTAAGGGCAGAACAATCTTCATGACTATTTTTTACTGTCCCACTAAGAGTAATTTCTCTTCTGCTCTGATGGTTCCACTTCCGTCACTGAGATGATATAATAAATCCTGATTTACAGGGTGAGGCAGCTTTTTGATTTACCCAGAAATGAAAGGAAAGCATTGTGTGACGTCAACACATTAGACTCAGTCCTTGGTTATTCAAATATGATTAATTGCATTTGAGTTTTCATGCGGAAGATTGTGAATGCCAGACAAATACATGAGGAGAATGCTTGTCTGATTTTCAACATTTAAGTTTATTTTCAACTCAATTCAACAATTCTGAACATTTTTGACTTCATACTTTATTCCCAAGAGTCTCAACATTTCAACTTCTTTCTCTTTTCTAACATTGTAATCTCTTCCTATAGATCGTTATATACAAAAGTCTTCAGTTTACTGGAAATATATAAATACATGCAAAGTCTTGACAAGTGTCTTTGTATAAATAACCATCCCAATGGCTTATTATGTACTGGTAGTAGACCTGAAAGAGTCACAAACTCTGGCTCCAAATGATTTATCTTGAACTTAAATGACCTTTTTGGCCCCTCTGGCTTCTTAAAGATCAACTGAGGTGCAACACAGACACTGTTTTTGTTTTAAATGACACACCAAAGTCACACACATGATGGCGATTATATACAATATTACACTAGGGGGGTGAGAAAATACATCCAGCTGACAGAAAAGGATAATGGATACACAGAAAAGGCTCAGCTGTAAATGAACACAAGATCACAGAAAACATAAAAGAATGTACAAAATGGAGAGAGATTCTTCTTATTTAGCGTAGAGCAATGCTTTTCTCTTGCCGTACATGGGGCTGAGCGAGAACACAGCGTCGGTGAGGGCGGTGGGGAGGAAGGGGAAGAGCTGGAAGAAGAGCATGTCCACCGTGGAGACCAGCAGGTATCTGTACTTTGGCCGCGAGGACGTGACGGCGTGCAGCATGGCGTCGATCACCATGTTGGCGTCTTTAAACCCCCCCTTGCACGTGGACATGAAGTACTCGTTGGCCAGCTCCATGTACTGCAGGTTGAAGATCTGCTTACGTTCCCCGTCTAATTTCTCCCAAATATCCAAACCGGTTTTCATCTTCAGGATGTTGGTGGCCTGGCCGAAGTTACCCGGCTGGATGATGCTGACCTGAACAAATTAAGAATATGTAACATCAAGATATCTGCTTTTAGGGAGGGTCATATTTAAGTAGTAAAAATAAGTATTTTAAAGTTGGGGAAAAAATAATTCAGTGGCCTAAATGTAATCCAAAAATGTGTCTTGTCAATAGTCATACAGGTTACATTTTAAATGTATTTTATTTTTACAAAGGTCTATGGTTGGCATATTATTGTGTCCATTATTCTAACAATTTTTTTTATGGAATTTTAGATATTTTAAACTATTATTAAATATATTTATTATATAACCCTAACCCTAGGAATATATGCTATTAAATGTTTTCTGATTTATTAAAAAATAAATGTATTAAAACATTTGCATCAATAGTTGTAACCCGAATCTTTTATTTGCTGGTGATAAGAAACTTTAAACATAAAATAAGCCAAAGAAGGGAAAGAGTGCCATCCTAGCCCAGTATCCCCTACTGCACTGCCATTCATTAATGCTTGTTTTATACTGAATTGAAAAATTATCTTCCTATCCCAGACTTCCCTATAATTTTACAGAAACATAACTTTACCTTCACTCCAAAACTGGCCATTTCTACCCGCAGACAGTCTGCAAACGCCTCCAGGCCTCTCTTGGACACGCTGTAAGCCCCCATGTTCAGGCAGTTAAAGAAAGCAAAGATGCTGGACATGAAGACCATCCGACCTGAAAAAGAAAACGTTTACTTCACAATAGTATACGTGCAAACTGTTCAGGGTTATAGATATAAGAATGTGAGGTTAAGTTGATATGTAGGTCATTTTTTTTTAAGCTTACCTTTAGCAGCACGAACCAAAGGTAGGAACGCAGAAGAAACCCGGATTGAGCCGAACAGATTGATGTCGATCATTCGTTGGAAATCTTCAATGGAGCTCCATTCAATCTCTGCCCAGTCCGTGATTCCAGCGTTGCTCACAACCGCCCATAGGCCTGAGGGAGAATCAACGTTATGGTTCAGAAAGAGACTATTTGAGGACTTAAATGTGTGTTGTGCACAGTGGCGTTTTTATATGTACAAAAGTGGTGGGGCACAAAAAACTTAGATGTCTATATATAAGCTTCTGCAGTGACGTGCAGTGAGGTTCATGGCTGGTGAGGCACTGGCACTGACTCTTCAGGTTTACAAATATTATATTTTGACCTAAACCAAAATATAATATTATTTTCAAAAGCTTTTTTTGTCTGATGCTTCGATTAATTTTAAACAGACAGTTCAACAAAAGGATACCCAAAAAATGTAATTTTATCATTTAAATATTGAATTGTTCTCTCTTAGTAAGATCCCATTTTCAATAAAATTGCGGTCTTACCTTGACTTGAAGATGAAGTCCATTTTCCTATCCTTCTGGACAAACATTTCTATTACTTTTTTGTAAAAGTCCTCCTTATCTTCTTGTAGTTTCAAAAGTCTATCATAAATCTAATCGATAGATTTATGATAAAAAAATTATAAAAGTAGGGTAGACATGTGGATATTATCCGGCTAATCAAAACGTGTATTTATCTAACAGGTACGTTTCCCACAGATCTTATTTCGAGCTATTTTCTAAAATCCTCTGGAGAAATCTCATTGCTTTTTTGTGCTTACTTCCTGGTTTTAGGACGCGCCACTGCAGCTCTCTCGTCTCCTCTTCAAGCACCACACTTTTCGCGGCACACGTACTTACAGCCAATCAGCTCTGAATGATTTGAGATGACGTATGGTGGGGATGGTAGCTCCGTGCCCCTCTGGTCATTATTTTTTTGCCACACACATTACATAGAAAATACTCTGAGCATGCGCAGTGTAGTTTTTACAGTCACCGTTCACTTCACAGCGAGAGGAAGGGGCATAATCAGGTTTTGTCCCACATGGCTCTAAACAGCTCAATAGGCACACACTGTGACTGTAGACACACTAATTAGAAGAACACAGACTAAAACAGCAATGTACAGACGAATCAGATGATTAAACATGATCTTAAAATATATTTTATATTTTTTTTTATTTTGCATTTTTGTAATCATTATTTGTAATACTTTCTGCTGACACTAGGTGGGGCTGTGCCCCACCTGCCCCTAATGACCAGTCGCCACTGGTTGTGCATACGTTTTATGGAGCATTTATTTGAAACCAGCTGACGTGCAACCACGATAATCATTCAAAAGATAATGTCCCTTCAGGACACGTTTTGATCAACTTGATCAAAACGTGTCCTGAAGGGACATTATCTTTTGAATGATCATCGTGGTTGTGGACATATCATTTGCATGGTCGCATCACTGCCATGAAAGGAAGGACTCAAAAGAAAATACTATATCAAAATGACACTAAAAAGCCCTGATTCAGAAATAAGACTCTCAAAGAGTTACTCATAACTCATTGAATTAATATATACTAGGGAAAAAAACAAAAAAATTGTTTATGAATGACAACAAATGTGGTTAATCGTAAAAAAGGAAGTCCTAGTTTTATGTCATATTTTTTTGTTTAAGAAAGTAGGCCCCCTCCCATATTTCTGTTGAGCAGAATTGAGCTTCCATACACATCAAATCTGGAGAAGGGTCATAAAAAAGACAATAAGGAAGTAAAAAAGTCACACAAAAAAACTCATGAATTATTTGATAATCCATCATTTGCCTGTGACCTAAGAATTTCATCGGCATAACTACACTGTAGCATGTTCGTATGACAAAATAAAGAACCTTGAACCTTGATTGAAATATAAAACAAGGCCAATTGAAGTCAAAATTATACAATATTTTGTCATTTCTATCTTTTTTTGCTGAGTTTTGCTCCCATACACATCCAGCTTCAAACAGTGTAATATGTTTTGAGTTTAATAACCTCACCTTTGTCTGGCAGGTTCTCCAGGACCGTCTTCTTCGCCTGCTGCACCTCTTCATCGATGGTGACGTCCAGTTTGAGGACTTTCAGATTACTGGAGCTTTTTTCAGCCAGACTCTGGGCGCCCGGTCCTTCTGGAGCCAGGCACCCTGCGAACACCACAAACCCTTTGTCGTCTAAAACGCGTGCCAGCTGGTGCCCGAAGCCACTGTCGCAGCCCGTTATCAGCACCGCGGAGCCGTAACCGTCCTGAACATGGCTGCGGCTGCGGCGGGAAACCAGCTTGGCGAGGGCGAAGAGGAGGGCGACGGAGATGGAGGCGATGCCAATGATCTGGCCGATGACGAAAATTGTGTTCATGCTGGCGAAGTGTCTGGAGACTGAATGACAGGAAACCAGAAGTGACTGCGCACTTTATATCCCAGTTTGTTGATCATCAAATGTGAGCCTGGATCAAATACAATTTGTTCAGGTTTGCATGTGATTTGAAAGATACTTCTGTTGTCGAAGGAGTGGTGATGTGTTCCTTTAATTCCCATTTCCCCTAAGAATACAAACTTGTATCTTGTTGACAAGGCAAGATGTAATCATTGTGACATTGCCAATAGGCCTACCCACAAATGTTACAGTACTTATTCCAGAACATGTTGGCTTATTCCCATGATCTTTGAAAAGGCAACATTTCCAAAACACTTGTTGATGTCAGACTATTGGTCTTTATTCATGGCTTGGTCAGGCGTCTTGATTCCAATTACAGGAAAGACATTTACGACTTCCTAGGAAGAACCGTTTTGGGACGGCTCCTTCCTGCACCCAAGATTTGGACAACGTTGGTAAATGTTACATAAAGTTGTAGAATAAATGGAGCTCGATAACAATGATATATATTTTTTCACCTTTTTGGGTTTTCAAAATGGTTAAGTATATTTTCTGTAAAAGGAGCTGAAGTCTTGTTAGCTTAGCTGGTGTTAGCTTAGCTTGCAAATGCTAAGACAAGAAGGAAAACAGCTTCAGGCTAACTGCTTTTGTGAAATGTAAGCGACTGTGTGTAGTTTGTTTTGCTGTCATGACTTGTAAAGATTTGTATGTATTAATGTTACGTAGTTATTTAATGTTATTTCTCATACGCAAACTAGAGATGGGTGAGTCCTGATTCATCCGGATCATTAACCCGGATCCTAGTAATGAGCTGGTCGTGACGAGTCTCGAGTCCATTAACCCGAGTCCTTTGAGTCCTATACCTGGTGACGTACAAATTAAAACTATAAATTGCGTCACTCGCTACTCTCTTTATAACATGTAAAATCACATTACAACGTACCCCAGTCCATCTGCCTAGCCTTTAGCAAGTAGGATAGCTGCCAGAAGTTATCGTTTGGCTCGGGGGACGTGGATCAGTGAAACTTCCTGCAGACTCGTGCGGACTCAGAGCCGTAACCGTAGCAGATCCAGAGATCCAGGCAGACTCATCATGCACGAGTCGACAGCAGACTCAGATTCGCAAATCCAGACTCACTGAATCAAGGGAACTTCCTTCACTTCCTGCAGACTCGTGAGTCGTGGGGACTCAGAGCCGTAACCGTATAGCAGATCCAGAGATCCAGACCATACATCCATGATCCAGACTCGTCATGCACGAGCATAGCCGCGGGAACTGTGAAGTCATTTTACTTAGGGGGTGCGGACAAAAGTGGGTGAGAGATTTCAACAACAGTAACATGAAGTTTTTCAAATGTACACCATTCGCAGCCCCGCCTCCAGCACCCCTACTTCCCGCGGCTATTGTGCACGAGTCAACAGCAGACTCAGAGATTCGCAAAAATCCTGACTCACTATGCAAAACATAGTAGACTCGTGCGGACTCAGAGCCGTAACCGTATAGCAGCAGATCCAGAGATCCAGCAGACTCGTTGTCATGCACGAGTCAACAGCAGACTCAGATTCGCCAAATCACAAAATAACCCTTTTTTTTTGTGATCAACATTTTTTATTAAAGCAAAATACACTGTGTAGCGGAGGTTAATATAACGTTAGTTTAATATGCTCGTGAAATGCAACAACTTTTCGGTTTCACCGGTAGGATTTCTACGCTCTTGGTGATGCTGACTCATATGACTCAAATGACTCGAATGATCCGGATCTCTTCAATGACTGACTCAGAAGACTCCGAGTCCGTAAAAGGATCCGGATTTGCCATCTCTAACGCAAACGGCACCATGCACTTCTGCATCACCTCTTCCTGCTGTGCTACGATTGGCTAACTCATTGCTTTGGCGCGTTTTTTGATTGGCTATGTGCCGCACTTCACTGCTGTGGTTGTAGGGAAACAAAGTCTGGCACAAACATTTACAAAATAGTGTCAAGTTAAATGTATACAGTTCCTCTAACAAACCTACTGCACAATTAGGATAACAAATACAAAAGTTTGACTTTAAGACAATGTATGTTGATGTTCATTATTGTCTAAATTGTATATTCGGCTATCTTCTTGTTACATAAAAGCTTTAAAAGCAACCAGAACCAGGCAAATTACTTGTATTTGTACTTATATCTGGTAAATCAAGCAAAACTGAACGTTTTTTTTGAGAAATGGTGGCAGGGAAACTTTAAAAACCTCATTACGTAGCCTTGGACTTTACACAACTCCTGAAGCAGTTTTACAGGAAAACAAACAGTCATTGAGTCAAGTTTAACAACAAAAGGCTCACAACACTGCCGCTTTGTACAATCGCCATGACTGATATTTATAGATCCTTCTTCGGAAATCATTTCCCTGTAGTCAGACACCAGGCTTTGGGATGATTCCTTGAAACCCCCCTAAATCTTTCCGATAAAAAACAGAGTGGTTTTTAGTTTCTTGTAACCACAACAAGCAGGTGATTTCCTTATTAATCTCGGTCACCACAAATCCTGTGATGTAGTTCAGGGGTTCGTGGAAGTCTCACTTGTATCAAAGAAAAGCTGCCCACTATCATCATCATGAATAAAACAGCTCAGAAGGCAACACAACAACAAGATCTGCTAACTAGTTAACAAGACATGTGACCTACTAAAAAGCCTACTTTTGAGGAGAAAAATATATCTTTTAGTAGTTTTTCATACAGACTTTGTAGATACAACCTCTAAGAGCCCCACTAAGGTTGCAAACATGCGCATAGGAGTATCAAAATATATAACTGTGGAACCTACAAGCTTTTAGTCCCAATAAGAGTGAGATTGATACTTTAGTATGTTTTTTAATCTGGATCGGTTTCACATTGCACAAATTAAAGCGGGCCTAAACAATGTGCTGAGGGCCGTATAGGGGCGGCTACTATTTCAGGGAAATTAATCGAAGTTTTCTTGGCACGAACAGACTCAGGAACTGATTCTGCTTCCACCAGTTTGTCTCAAATTACTATATAAACTTTCTTTGCTGACTTGAATTTAAATATTCTGTATGTTCTCTTTGGTTCTTATGTCAAGCAAAAATATTAACAATAGATGTATTTTGCATAGTGGGATGCCAAATTGGGAACAACTCTAACCTCCTGTTGTTGGCTTCTTTCTCAGACCCTACCCATTTAAAAATTGACCTTCATTTTGACAGGGTTATCTCTACTACACTCATGAAAGGTTTGGTGACTGTATCTTGTACGGTTTCTATACTGGGAAAAGTACTCCGGTGTGAAAGCGCCTTATGCTTATTATTAAGTGTTTGGTGAACCTTTTTTTGAAACCCCCTTACATTTTTCTCGATAGAGGACTATTTTCCCCGTGTTTAACTGAGGACCATAGACAGCTTTCGAATAGAATACACAAACACGCCGCTGTAAATACGCTTTGAACTGAATGACCGTATGCAGTGATAGCTCCAGGCTCCCAGACAGTCTGCTTTACGACAGGCATGAAAGGAAATAAATGAATACATACATGGCATTATACAGAAGGGGGTCAGTGAGGGTAGAGCACCTCGGGGTAACTTTAAATGCCTTAATGTTGCTGTTTGACACCGTTATATTTAGGTTGTGAAAATACTGAATGTACTCTTCCAATATTAGAGTAGCACATGATAACAAAGGCCCAACTGTAGCTGTGTACATGACAGGATGTATGATTACCTAGAAGAGCGTCAGGACCAGAGGTTGCGTTAACCGAATATTTTCCGTCTGTGTCTCTCTTCCTGAGAGGGGCTTTACGGCAGCATCCCCCTAGCACCCCAAGGGCTCCGGCTTGGGACCTGCCCCTGCTGCCGGATGCCCCATCATCTCCTCCCTTCGAGCCCCTGGCCCAGGTGGGGCTTAGGTGGCTGCCCACGAAGGCAGCATTTCTGCTTGCCATAGCCTCAGGGAAGAGAGTTGGGGAGTTGCATGTCCTCTCCGTAAGCAATACATGCCCGAGGTGGGACTCTCAGGTGTTGCCCTTTGGGCAAATGTGGCATTCCTGCCCAGGGTGCTTCCACAAACCCACTTCAATCAGCCTGCCCAGCTGGCACGCTTTGACAGTCAGGAGAACGGCACGTTGAAGTTGCTGCGCCCTGTGGGTGCCCAAAGGGCGTATATCGAGGCTACTGCCTGTATACGGCAGTCGGAGCAGTTCTTCGTTTATACTTGTTTTTGGGCTGTATAAATAAATTGACTTGAAACAGTTGCTGATTTAGAGTACTGGCACCTTTTTTATTCCAATTCAAGCACTGATGTTAGGTAGTTATTTAATGTTATGTTGTTTCACATATTAACGCAAACGTTATATAGTTACATATCTTCTTTCACACTCTTGTTACATAATAGCCCTAGAGCAGGGGTCGGCAACAGGCGGACCGCGGTCCGGATCCGGACCCAGACGCCGACCTATACGGACCCGGACCTATAATCAATACATTAATAGGGGATTTCAATTTTGACGGGGCGATTCTATTTTAACCGCCGCCGACAGGGGGCGAAAGAGACGAGTGAGCGATACAGGGAGAGAAACACAGAAGAAGAGATGAGAGAGTGGCAGATAGAAGAGGAGAGGAAAGTGAGTGAAGAGAATAATTAGCGATACAGGGAGAGAAGCGGTGAATGTGAATACATTTTGGAATATTTTTTGGAATTATTGGTGGAAAAGTTTCCTCATAAAATGTAATATTCATTACCAGCAGAACTGTGTGCACACTGCACAGCGCTGCAGCATGTCTGTGAGGCCCCGCCCCCGCACGCAGATCAGAGAGAGATCTCTTTTAAAATATATAGAAACGGAGATGGTTCGATAAAATGTGCAAGATAACGTTTATGTAGCATTTCTTTATTGTCGAAATGATGACATTTCATAACGGGATCAAATCAAAGTGAATGGCCTGCTGCTGCTGAATGCATGGGGCAAGTGACTGGAAACAGTTTTAAAAGTTATTACGTCGTTTCAGATAA